TCTTAAAATTTGAAACCACATTGTCAATGGACAAGCATACAAGCTAAATCTTCACGACCCGTCCTGTCTTCTCCCACTGTACCGACTACTCTATCTTTCTTTCTTTATTATTTCACTTATCTCAACCTATATTATCTACACTACAACCTATTATTATCATTATCATTATTATTATTATTACTCTACTTTTATGACTATACCGAACGACCGACGGGTGTTAGGTCAAACTCCATTCACGGCAGCAGCTGAGTCCTAACATACTGCACGCTACAAACCACAATCTTGACCAATCCTCGCATCACTCCTCCTGGAGTCTACCAGAGCTAAAGCAGTCGAGTGGCGGGATTTACTACGCATAAGTTCACCGAAGATCTGGAACCTCTACCTTAAAATCAAGAAGCGAGCTCAAAGAAATCACTGGTTTATACTAGCTCGTAATCAGGATATTGGATATTGGACTTGCAATTTAGTATTGAATATTGAATCAAAGTAGTGAGGTAAATGTCTACGGTGCGTTACTGTTCCGATGGATGTTGACCTTTACGCTTACTTCGGTCTTAGCGATGATTGCACTCCAAAGGATATACAAAGAGCATATAAACGAAAAGCCAGGGAAGCTCATCCAGACAAAAACAAGGACAATCCACTAGCCAGTATGTGAATATTACAGCTAATAATTTCTTTTTCAGAGGAACAATTTCAGGAGTTAAGTGTCTACTTCGAAATCCTATATGATCCGGTTAAAAAGGTATGGGTTTCTTTTTATGGCTACTGCTTTTGTCGTTTTGAAGCTACGAAACTGTTTGTATGTCTTTTTGTGCTCTCCACGGGGTAAAACAGCGTGCATCTTCATAATATTTTGACTTTGCGACTGTTTGGCACACTGACCATGTGCACATAGTGACTTTAAAGAAATTAACTGATAGTAGAAGTACACGTTATCTGGCCACTGAATGAATGTCACTGCACTTGGCAACGTGCTAAGCCTGTTTGTCGAGGCTTGGTAAAGCTGTACGAGTTTCTGTTCCTTGGTTGTTGGTGGCCACCTGCCTAGTCGAATCCGTATTTCACTTGGCTTCAGCACTACACCTACTAGTTGGTTATCGTTGGAAACAGTTTTTATTTACTTTTCAATTCGTGTTTGCGTAAGGTTAGTCATTTAATGAGTATTTCAGCTTAGCGTGACTGAATAACTTTTAACCAATGTGTTGATTAGTAAACCCGAATTCCTATCCTTTTGAATTATTATCAGTGCCGTGTCTGCAAACACTTTGTAGAGGTACTCACCAAGTGAATTGTGAGTCATCTGTTGTGTAGTTAGTGACTTCATCAGGTAGTAGGCCACATCTTAACTATCGAGACTATCTTTAGATATTGCTTAGCTAATTAAGCATTTACTTTTAGATTCAATAGGCTGAAATTCATAATTTTCCGAAAGAATCGTGTATAAATGTGAAGAAACAGTCTGTAATGCAGTTAGTCGACAAAGCTATTTTGGTTTTTTAGTTAAATAATCATGACGTTTTAGTGATAAGGCCAACATAATGTGAAGGAATACTAAAGTGCTTTTTAAAGTAGCCATAGAGTCACAGAATCTTATTTTGCAATATAAAACTCGTGTCTCGTAACAGTGTGCTATACTAAACGACTTAGTAATTTAATTAAATGATTAGTAAGGTAGTGTATCTCTTTTGGTGATTTTCTCGTAACGCGCTTACTTGACTTGAAAGTCGTATTCATACGTATCATGTGGTAAATTGTCTTCCTAAATTGTCAAGCTTTTTTGCCTTGGTGCAATGTGTGTTGTTTTCCTTGTGTTTATCTTACTGTCAGTGGGATTCCGACTTCTTTTTCTAGGGTCGAAGTCACTTCCGTGTATAATAAAAACTTTCATCATAAATCACATTATCCATAGACTAATGATTATCACCCCCTGACCTCACTCCTTATCATGTTTACTGATTTTTATGTTACTAGTTAATGTCTGCATCTATTTTGATTATTTTATAGAAAGAATATGACCGGAAGTGGAAGGCTAAAAAAGAAGCCGCTAAGCGAATGGAAGCTATGGATTCATCTCGAAGAAAACTTAGGGAAGGTTAGTTGCTAAATTCATGATATTATTTAATGATGAATTTAATCAGCATAGTCATGTTCATCACCTAGATTTCTAATTATTTTAATTGAGTATCAGAAAAACGGACAGAAAGATTGGTGTACTGCTGAAAGCTTTCTGATCTAGCTAGTTGTACAAACTTTGCAATTCGATGCATTTTTGAAGTATCAAAGCTCAGCCACATAGCTAAGGAGACGTATGTTCAAGGTTAGTTACGACTGACCTGTTTGACTTTGTTGGGTTTTGTAGAGTCGCATTCGTGTGTAGAGGATCTTACCACTGATTATGGAAAGTTTGTAAGACATAGAAGTACTCAGAATTAATGCCGATGTTTGTAGCTTAGAAAAACTACTGAAGTTACATTCGTTTTCGGCTGGAAGTACTACATTAATTTCGAACTTCCAAGTGACAGCATATTATTCACTTTATATAGAGATTATTTACATAGTACTACCGGTGTAGCTTGTGGGAGATGAAAATGTGCTAACCGAAGAGAAGTAAAATGATGCTGAGAAACTACTAGCATCTGTGTATGGTTAGGGATAAATCTGACCTATTTCATGAAAGCTGATTATGCTAACTTACTGGGGAATCTTGATAGAGAGAGCGGCATTTGAATCTGTGACTCATTGGTTAAAAGTGACATGTCTAAATATTAGTTATCACATTGAATTAAAAGTTGTACATTTAAACATACCTATAACATGGTAAGAGGAGTCCCTCTAATTCTAGAAGTACATTCGAATTGGTAACAGTACTGTGTACTATGTACTTCCAAAATAATTTTTGTGCCAGGTGACTAGGTGTGTTTGAAAGGAAGGAATATTCACTAACCTTACCAAGTAATTTACTGCATACGCTCATATATCATTATAAAGAATCAACTGTATTGTGAGAAAAAGAATTAGTTTCATAAGTTGAGGAAGGTCTTGTCTGTTGTATATTGTCCCTTTTTGTTTGCATTCTTATTATAAGACTTCAAAGGCTTTAAATAGCGGTGGTAACTATGCTACTCTTTATTTGTTTGTCGCCTGTTATGAATGCTTTGCCTTCTCAGTTGACTATTTTTGTATCTGTGTGTGTGTGGATGTAAGTGGTAGTAAATGAATGAACATTTGGCGTACGTACACCATCGAAAATCCTATTCCACTATTAGGCTGTCATCACTTTTTATAGGGTGATCACCATTCAGTTAACAAACTTAGTATTTTCATTTTTACACTCAGTTTTCTTTGGGTGATGACAGTCTTAATCAAAAAAGATCATATATATATATCACTGTTCTCTGTAGACTCTCTAAGTGTTATTCGATCTTTACAAACTAGTAGAGGGTTACTACGCAACGGAAAACGTGGGATAAGTGTAAAACAGTTCCAGTACAGTCAGCTGTCGCGTCTTACTTTTTGAAGTACACTATTATGTCAACCCACACATATTCTTAAATGTTTTCTTTGTCAAAAATCATTGTACAGAGCTTGAAGCCAGAGAAGCTGCTGCAGCAGCTATGCGCAAAAAACAATCTGAGGCCACAGCTAAAGAGTTAGCAGCAGATCAGATTCGCAGAGATTGGGAACGTTATACTGAACAGATGCAGTGGGAAGCTTTAAAGAAACGAAAGTGTATGGATAGTGAAACTGATAATATCGATTTCAAACCAAAGAAGTCTAGTCAAGCTGTTGTTAGGGTAAGTTATCACCTACTATTTTTTCTATCATTAAAAACAATTAATTTGTTTTGTGGCTAAACAAAGGTATGGATATGTTTGTTACTCAACAACCAAGCGCAATTCCATGCAGTTGGCAATGAGCCACACCAATTGTGTAGGGGCTGCCCAAACCTAGCCAGGTGGAGCGGGGTTCAAACTCGTAACCCAGTGGTTGGAAGTAGAGCGTCTAGACCAATGTACCACAGCTCCACTTTTGCGGCTAGACATATAGCTGGCATTTTATTTTTCCATGCCTTGATACTGAATAAAAGAGTCATTTTAATCAACATAATAATACGCAATTACCCTATGACACCTTGATACCCAAAGATTCTATATTTCCAAATGTGACTCGTGGTATGTAACACACATGTGTCATAGTTGGACTTTTAGCATTGTTTTAAAATTAATAACTGCTGCTGTCGACTTCAGAAAACTTGTATATTCCATATTTGCAATGTTTTGTGTGGAATCTATCAGAATAAACTACAAAAATGTTCCAATGAACACATTTTTCATTTTGTATTGATGAATGCCCTCCTAGTGTTGTCATCGCTTTCCTTGACGAGCAATGATTAAGTTGGAGAAGGGTTAGAGGTGGTCAAACCCAAAGCTGGAATTCGTCTATGAAGTCTTTGATGGTTCGTTAGAAGTAACCACGTAAGGATGTGTAGACTGTCTAGTTGGATAGATGCTGAGAACTTTTGACTAGAGACTATTGGTAAGATATGGCTCAAAATCTATCTCATTGGCGCCGATGCATTCACTTTCTATGACCACCCATATCCATTAAGCCCTTATGTTTTTTTATGTTACTATGCTTTCTTCGAGGCATTCGAAGCTGGCTGTCTATTATCACCGATGATATTCTTAATTGTGGTGGACTGGATTATGCGTCAGATTGTGCTTTGGGAGTGAGAAGAAAGGAATACGTTGGATCACCGATAAGAGGACTCTAGAAGATCTGGATTTCGCTTGTGGATGATTTATGTTTAATGCCGCACAAACTCGAAGACTTGCAGGCGGAAACCAACAAACTGGCATAAGAGGCAGGCAGCGAAGACAGGACTCCAGGTGAACGTCGAGGAGATGGAGGTGATAAAGATAACCCACCAACAGCAACAACAATCAGCACCAATCAACAACGACAGGAGAGATTTGTTAGATGTTACTTCCTTTACCTATCTGGCCAGGAAGCACAGTTTCAACCACAGGCCGGCGGAACGGATGAAGATGTCAAGGCCAGCCAGCCAGAATCGGAAAGGCAAGATACGCCTTCATCAACCTGAAACCAGTTTGGAAATTTTCCACACTCAGTCAGTATAAAGAACAAGATTCGGATTTCCAACACAAATGTGAATTCAGTCAGTTCTCCTATACGGGTCATAAAATTGCACTGTGTCACGAAAAGCCCTTGTAGCAGCCTGTTGCAGAGTATTATCAACAGCTACCTTCGCTGGCTCCATTCTGAAGATCAAATGACCAGTCGGTCAGAAAGAATTAGCAACAAGAAACTCTGACTGGCAACAAACTAACCAGGAACCTATGTTTCAGCAAATATGTGGGAGAAAGTGGAGATGAATAGGGCGTACGTTGAGGAGACCGTCGAGTGGCATTGTGCGCCAGGCCATCGATCGAATGGAATCCCAATGGGAGGCGATGAGTGGGTCGTCGGTGTCAGGGTGACATGGAGATCTTGTGGCGAGGAGGAGGATGAGATGAGAGATTATGGGCAATCGTGTGGCTAGCCAGCTAAAGAGGACAGCAGAAAATAGAAAAAAGTGATGTGTTGTTGAAGCCCTATGTTCCACTTGGAACCTAAGGGAATAATAACAACATAATTCCTTCTCCCTTACATTCGTGTTTATTATAGCACTTTTGAATCCTCCTTTTCTCTCTTTTGTGTATTACTCGATTTTCGTCTTTACTGCCATTTTCTCAGTATGTAGAACTAGAAGGACTCAACATAAACTGAAGATATTTGGAAAATTCTGTTACCAAATGAAAATGAAGAAAAAAGACATAAAGAACTATAAAAATGAATTTTCAGAGTTGTAATTACTTTGGTATCCAAGTAATAGGATTTATGGGGATTTGAAAAAAACGTTTACCTTCAACTGTTAGATTTCGTGACAAACAAAACACCATTTAGAGAAATCATTAAAAAACAGGGAGCACCGGACATCTGTTTCATCCTATTTGGAATTCCTCACAGCGTGCACCCAAGACCCCATCAGGGATCGAACATGAGACCAGTTTGAAATTACTCTGATATCATCATCAGTGATAAATTCTTCTAGAAGTATCCCTTACATTCTATACCACTGTGTGCTACATCAAATAGGTAAATTAAACATGGAGTGGATATCGTTTTGTTTCATATCTAATCCGACTATAATTTATTTAGTAATAGTATCATATTGAGTAAAGGATAACTCGTTTTTGAAGGGAGTAATAGGATCTTTATACTTATTGAATTTCTTTTCGTGTAGTAGGGATTCAAAATTGACAGGATAATATTAATGCATTATTATATTACACTTCAATTGATTATGCTGCGATATAATAAAATGTATAACAAGAATAATTATTTCTTGTTTTCTTCTTCTATTTGTACAATGCAGATAAAATGGGCCTATTCAGAAAACATTCAAGCCAGTGCTTGTTATACAGAATCATTTCTTAAAACGTGTTTATCAGAGGTAAATTTTAATTATTTTGGAATTTGTGAGAAATGTTTGCTTTAATAAACACTTACTTAATAACTGTTTCATTGAATGAAGTAAACTTTTTTTCTAAGAATTCAATTCAAGAATAACTCAATTTTTCAAAATGTCCACCTAATAATTTGTTTGCTGTTATCACATTGTTGTGGAACACGTGAGAGGGTGTTTACTATGAAACCTCACAGTAACGTATTGTGTGAATTATTCTATTGTAAACGAGTTTTCTTAATGCATCACTGGTGTCAGCGTCAGTGGTGCAATGCTCGCCAATCAAGCATGTGGTTCATGGTTCAATTCCACGCCGACATACTCGTCAACCTCACCTAGCCGATAGTAAGCCCGATAAAGACGGAAGGTTGTGTGTAAGGCTAGCAACCCCCCCCCAACCACCACCACTCCGTAAAACAGAATAACATCACTTCAAAAAGCTTGAAGCCTTATGTTCCACTCGGGATGCAAAGGAATAAAAACAAATACGAGTTTTTGTCAAGATATAAATTACCTTTATTTCTTTACGATCCCAGTGGAACATTGGGCTTCAGGCTACAGGCTTGAAGTTTCAGTAACAATGGTGTTTATTTTTTACGGGATAGGGTTGCTAACCATGCGCCCAACCTTCCCCCTTTACCGGTCTTATTATCGACTTAGCGAGGTTTAGGAGTTTCATACATTTATTCCCCTTAATGAATTTGAATAAAGCGAAAACTACAGTTTTTGCAGAATAAAGTGGTACCATCATTTATTTCGTTGCCTTCTCATCAGCCTCTTACAGGCCAAAGTCATTATTAAGTATATCTACAGAAACAATTTTAACATACTTGCACAGAGTTTATTTTAAACAAAAATGAATCGATCAATATGTGCATACAGTAATAATATATATAATATTAAACACTATTCCGAACAATAGTGATCATACACAATGGAAACTTTCGGCATTACGTATTCGGATGAAAGGGCGAAGAAAGACTGATAACTGTTTCTTTCTGAACCCACAAATCAGGTTCCAGGCACTTGATGAAGATGGCTTCAGCAAACTCGAGGAGAATTGAGCTATTTTTCCTATTGATAATTTTGAACGATTTTGAGACGTCCACCTCATGACCCGTGTCAAGAAGATGTCTGGCGATGGTACTGTTTAAAGCATTTGTTTCCTTTAGACATAAGCTTTTTGGTACACGTTCAGAAAATCGTAGATATGCCCTTCTCTCTGTCCTTCCAATGTAACTGCTCCCACAGATCCTTTTAAATGTGTATGTATAGTTGGGATTGAACTGGGATTGAACCCCAGACTACAAGCGTGGTTGGCGAGCATTCCACCACTGCACCACCGACGCACGATATATAAATAGTTGATTATTATTTAAACAAATTCTGGATCTAGTTTATTACATAAATATATATGTCCACAACTTATCACGCGTCAAAGATGACTACTCGCTGAAGGTATTAGAATACACAGTTAGTGGCTAAATAACTGAGTATACTACATGTATATCGAAACAGTTTAGTCGAGTTAACAATGAATACCATTGAAGCTTAACTACTCGATAAACAAGTGTAGTAGTCAATGTTTTCTCATTTTGTCAGTGTAGGATTACTCCTGTGTAACATTTAATTTGTTCTTCTACTTCATAACATCTCCTAGACACCTTAGTATGTATGTTATTATCATGTGATAATTAGTATACGGTATGCATTACAACGTTACTAATTAGTCAGATGAAAGACAAATTTAAGTATGGCACAATGAAATTCGTCAGTAAGATTGTAAGATTTACTGCATTGATGTTAAAACGTAAAACAACAACATACTTTGAATATTTTCTAAATCATGAAAAGTAGTCATCCAGACACTAATGAAAAAGCAACAACAGGGTGTTGAGCAAATTCATTTTCTTTAGCTGTACAATCGCATTTATATATATAATCTCTTTTTCATGAAAAAGAGAGTGGTAACCAAAAGTGATGGGTTGTCACAATCATAGTTGTTAATATTAATCAATGCATTGGGGGGGGGGGAGTTGAATAAATGTATTAGGACTACGTAATAAGATGAATAATATATAGAATGAGTTGTTTTTAGGATGCACGTAGAAATGAAGGGAAATATGGAATTGTATAAGAGTTCTAAAGAGATACAAGAGTCAGTTATAAGGAGTTGGAAAAACAAACAGACAAACAAAAGTCAGATCAAGTCGAAATCAACAAGGTTGCTACCACGATATTATAAATGGTTGGCTAATGTTCTTTTGTATGCATAGCTCATGTTCCTCTAACTGAATTGCCAAAGCTTGAGCAATGCAGTTAGGAGACTACAGCACATTACCTTTGGAAGGTTGCTCTTCACTTTGTAGATTACTTTGAAGTAGGCGTTGGTTGAGATGGAATGACCAGTGTTGACAAGGTGTCAGATTACAGCACTTCTTATAGACCCGCTGCTACTCCTCTGAAGCCACTCTGGATAGTGTTCTTAAACCCCGTTTATGCAGGATACACGTTGAATGGCCAATATAATTCTAATTCACTCTCGGACACAAGTTATGCGAAACACAATTATTTATTTTAGGCTTCTAAGTACACTTGTGATACTGCATGCATTGTAATATCGAGATGTTGTATGAGACTACTGTGAAATGCGAAAAGCCTAAATTATATGGATTGATTAATACTGGTGTTTAATACACCTATGTGTTATTAGTGATGATAAAGAATATGCTTTTTAGTTCTACGATACCGGAATTTACAAGTGTTCTTTGCAATTCTGGAAACTCATATCTTTAGATCTTGTTAATGAATTTGTAGAGTTAGTTAGATGAATAAATGCTTTTTCTCATCGTGCTATCAATGACGACTTAATTAGGTGGACTCCGCAAGTTATTCACTCACAGTTTCTTCGGGTATTCATCTAGCATGAGTTCAAACTCTGAGGTAAAGAAACTCATGAAATTCCGGCTGATTAAAATAAATGTGTACTGCTCTCTGAATGTACTTCTTAGTTTTTCATATTTTCTTATATCCGTTGACAAATAAGTTACTCTGGAATATCATTTTCCAACGTTAATACAAAGAATATTTTATGCAAGTAAAATAAAATCGTCTGCACTTTGTACGAAGTGTAGTAAGTTAACCTTCTGTTGATGTCATGTGGTAGTCGGAGAGTGATCATGAAACTAAGCTTGAAACTGATTCCATTTTTCAAGTGTTGGCCGTCAGGTATTTAATTGGTTACAGGGTGTGATCATATGAACTGATATCATTTGGAGAGTCATTGGAAAACCAGCTATGAGTACTGTTTCGGCCTAGTAACCTGGAGTTCTAATGAAATGTTGTGACCGGCTGGGTCTACCAAGTCAGATAAAAGACCACAGTTACTTGCCGATGACATTGGCAGTAGTTCGCTCCGTCCTTCTCTATGGTGATGAGACGTGGTCATTGAGAGCGGAAGACATGAAAACGTTGACTGTTTTTGACCACAGATGTTTACGATCTCTTTCTCGCGTTAGGTGGTATAATAAAGTAAGTAATGTTGACATTAGGCGTAGTGTTGGGCAAAGAGGGAAAATCAATCCAAGAGGCTATAAAATTACATAGATTGAGATGGCTAGGTCACGTGCTGCGCATGCCTAGCCATCGCCTCCCACGACGGGCATTACTAGCTGATATAGGTGCAGGTTGGAAAAGAGTAAGTGGTGGCCAAACAAAAACATGGCATCAATCCATGAAATCCCTGACAGTTAAACTGAGTCAGGTAGGGAGATGCAGACTTCCGGGTTGGGGCCCGCCCTCGGGACTCTAAGAATCAATGGCTGGAGACAATAGGTGACATGGCTCAAAATCGTTGTCAATGGCGCAGATGTATTCAGTCTCTGTAATCTTTCATATTCCTTTCTACCATTACTCATTCTGTTTCACTCTTATACTTGTCACAACTCTATTGATTCTCTTCACTCATTTTCTTGTCTACCTTTGTGTGCTCTTTGGAACGTGGCAACTCGAACTGCTGCACTTCAGTGCCAAGTTCTATGTTGAATCCAGCAGCAGCAGCAGCGATGACATTGGCTGGTGGTTACGCCATGTACCACAAATTGACAGAATTTGGAATTCATGGGCCATTGGACCGGGTCCCAGTGACTGAATGGCCTACGAACTTGCATTGTAACCAGGTCTTGGGTTAGAAACTTGACAAGTGTGTACTGATGAAGAGTCCCATACTAGGGCGAAACAGCCGTCAGTCCTTTCGGCTGGTTTTCTAATGATTCTCTAACCGATTTCATCTCGTAGTTAAACCTAGTTCCAGTTTTGTTTGTGTTCGGCATTAATTCTATTCGGTAAGATTGGTAGAACACGAGTTCATCCATCTATAGTGTAAGGAAGGTGGTGCTACATTTCGCGATACTGTGAATTAAGCGCTATGGATTAAATTTGAATGTGAAAGACAAACAGCATGATAGGCATGAAATTTCTTGTGATTGTGTCAACATCAACAAAACCCACTATTTTCTGTACTGCATCATGTAATGATGATTGTATGTAAAGGAAAAATTACTCCAAGGAATATAAATACCCATAAAAGAATGAGTAGCACGTAGGCGAGACAAACAGGTTGATGTAAAGTTGTACTGCAGGCGAATAATTTCATGGTTTGTAAAAATGGAGTAGTTAGTTATATCAAAAGCATATTTATTCGTTATAGAGACTTCACTGTATGAGACGGGTATTAGTTGTAATAGTCTTGTTCATTCTGCATTTTTAGAGGTTGGAAAAGAGCTAATGGTAATCAGACTAAAAATTAGGATGAGTCCATGTGAAATCTTTGACAGTTAGTCTAAGCCACGTAGGGAGGGAGGTGTAAACTGCTTGATTGGGTTCCTTAGGATTCTAAGATCCAGTGGTCGGAGGAAATTGTTGATATAGCTCGAAATCATTTATCAACGGCTCAGATGCATTTACTGTTGGTGATTTCTCATATGCATTAAACCCCAATCTTTCTCCCTCAGTTTTGTACCTATTATAATTCCTTTTTTCTGCCTTTGTGTGCTACATAGAATGTGGCAACTTGAACTGGTGCAGTTTTGTGCAAAGTTCTATGTTGAAACCCGATCAGTCAGTCAGTTAGTATTTTAACAGAAACTTTTACATATTGTGTTTAGAAATTCATTCAATTTACTATCTTTAAATGATAAGAATAGGATAAGAACTCACAATTTCACCAATTTTTCTTGTTTGTCTAAACATTTTTCATTTCACTTTGTGTGTGTAGTTTGGTGAGGTGACAGCATTTGTAATTGGCAAACGTGGAACTGCAATCGCAGAATTTTCTACCTACAACGAAGCTGTAAGTCAAATTTGTATCTCAAAGATAGTCTTTAGTTGTTCTTTTAAAAAATTAACCTATAAGGTGTGTGGTGTATTTTATTCGGAGGTTATTCATTATTAACATGATGGCGGCCTGCTTAAATCTTGGGCTACCAAATACCTTAATCATTACAAATCATATTGCATCTAATTGCTCACTTCCAATTTTATTTTAAATAATTAAATTTTATTCTAATATGTCCTCAAATCGGATTATTTATCCTCGTGAGTATTTAATATCCTTAAAACCTACTGATCGGAAATGCCACAAAAAAGACAAAAAAAAGCATCACGCCGGGTGGCAAAGAGCCTTAAAAAACACCCCTATTCAATTTATGACCGTTCCTGCAATCATGAGTACTAACTGTCGCTCCCTGCCAGCCAAGATTAACTATCTTCAATCACTTGTGTCTTCCATTATATATCGAAATACTGGGATCATATCACTTCAAGAAACATGGCTACACGATCTGTACGATGACAATCTAGTGTATCTAAATGATTTCAAACTATTCAGACAAGATCGATGCAGTTCTAGGAAGAAACGTGGTGGAGGTGTCGCCATCTTCATAAATTCACAATGGTGTACATCTAATAAAGTATGTTTCAAATTCTCTAGTGACAACATTGACTGCCTCACCGTCAAATGTCGACCTAAGCATTTGTCAAAATATAACTACATATACATCTCGAACATTTATATTGCACCTGGATGCAATTCCACTGAATTGTCTTTATTTGCTGATGAATTTACCTCCTTTGCTGCCACCTCCTTCGGAAACTCGTTGTCTATTGTTACTGGAGATTTCAATTCTAGTGATCACAATTTCCTTATTTCACTTGGTCATGATAACATTGTCAACTTCCCGACTCGAATGGATAATATTCTAGATCTTGTGTTCACAAATGACATAGGAATATTTGAAGCTCGGAAAAGAGCCCCACTACTTAACTCTGATCACTGCATCATAAGAGTATTGCCCAAGGTATATGGAAAGCTGCACAAAAGGGTCTTCTCCCACCTTGGAAAGAAAACACAACACAGATGCTATTCACATGATAACATACAGAATCTAAGGACAATGTTAAAAGACACAAACTGGGACCTGTTTACTGAACAAGCTCTTGACAACACAATTAGTAACATAACACATTATCTCAATTTCTGTCTTGATGTTTGTTGTCCTAAAGAGACAATCTTCTTAAAGTTCGACCGTTTCGCGTCATCTCAACTCAAAAAGCTTCGCCGTCAAAAAGAGAGGTTATACAAAATGAAAAATAAATCTGGTGTTAAGAGAATAAACACTTTAATTAAAGCCGAATTACAAAGATTAAATGCTCTCTATAACCAGAAGTTTCTTTCATGTAAATCCTCATCTAATATGTGGAAGCTATTAAAGGAAATCACAGGTGGTAAGCAAATAATGAATGATACTTCTGTCGATGTTGATATGCTAAATAAATCCTTCATATGTATCCCTGCAGATGTTATGATTCCCAAATCTAATAGTATAAATAATGACTGCTTTTCATGTTTTAACACGAATGATGTCCTCAAGTGTCTTCAATCTCTCAAACCTACCCAGTCCCTTGGTCCTGATGGAGTTCCTGCTGTTATCCTTAAGAAGTGTGCTGACATCTTATGTTACCCATTAACTGACATTTTCAATGAATCTTTTTCCAAAAGTTTTATTCCTGACTCATGGAAAAATATCAAGGTTGTTCCAGTGCCCAAATCAACAAGTGGACCTACTGTCAAGTTTAGACCCATTGCTATTACCTCACCTTTTTTAAAAGTTATGGAAAGACTTATTTTACTTAATCTTGAACCCTCTTTAAAGCCTTTTAACGACCCCAACCAGTTTGCCTATAAACATAGTAGGTGTACCCTAGATGCCGCTGTAGTTCTATATCATAATATAGTCTCTAGTTTAGATAGAGGAGCCAAATATGTTCGGTGCGCCTTCCTTGATTACACATCTGCATTTGACTCTGTACCTAGGTCTCTCTTGTTAAGTAAGCTTGCTGCAACACAGAGTGAGAGCTGGATAAATAAGTGGTTGTATTCCTACTTTTCTGATAGGAAGCAGTACACTGTCTACAATGGAAAGTCCTCCTCTACCTCACTTACCTTAGCTGGTGTTCCTCAAGGTGCCGTTCTTTCTCCTTTTCTGTTTTCTTTTTTCTTACATGACTTGCCCCATTCTGATGTAGCCACTTTTGTCAAGTATGCTGATGACCTCTCTGTCTCCATGCCTGTCAACTCTCAGTCAGACTGTTCCATATTAAATAACTTTCTCTCGGAAATTAGTCAGTGGTCCTCTTCAAACGGTCTTAAGCTGAATCCGTCTAAATGTCAGGTAGTAAATTTTACTTTCAGACGAAAAAGTGACCTTCAACAACTAGCTAGCTCACATGGTCCCACTATCATAGACGGCATAGAGGTTGAAACTACATCAGATGTCAAGTACCTTGGACTGAGTATTTCCTCCGATCTTTCCTGGTCCTCTCACATCTTGCTAGTGACTAGAAAGATGTTTCGCTTAACGTTCTACCTTAGGAAGTTCAGGCAGTCTGGTATAAAGCAGTCTTTACTTTCTCAGTTTGTCAATTCCTGTATTCTACCCATCCCTCTTTACTGCTCCCCATTAATCTTTCCAGGACTACTTAAGAAAGACTTTGCTTCGCTGCGTAGGGCACTAAAAGCTGTTAGTAGGGCAAGTGGGATATCGTTAAACCAACTGGTTAACACCATAGTGGATAGACATATAATGTCATGTAAGAAACTAGCGAATACTATATTGTCAGACCCTGAGCATCCTCTCTATACACAGCTCTCTCCTTGCATATCATCTGGTAGAACTAGAAGTAACTATAGGAAGCTATATGCCAGGACTACCAAGTATAAAAACTCCACAATACCTTATCTGGCACAGCTGTTATGTGATGAGAAAACTGTTAGGCATGACATGATCAATTTTCTGCGGCACTCTAACAAATAGTTCCCATTAGCTTTTGTTCTCCTTTCTTTGTTACTATTATATTGCTGCTCATATATTCTATTACAGACTAATTTTATATATCGTATCCTGTGGTGCACTGTTTAAATATGTGAATGTAATGCTGTTCTTTTTTTATTTTATTTCTTTTATTTTTCTTTTTCTTTTTGTTGCTTTATATTTCTAAATCCTTAAAAAATTTATGAGGTAATTAGATGCAATATTGTAATGAACGCTGAAAATTCCATACCTGTACCACAAATACTGTTTGGAATAAAGCCATTATTATTATTATTATTATTATTATTATTATTATTATTATTATGTGATCTTCAGAAAAAATAAACATTGACACATTCTTATGCAAATTTGCACAGTATATTGTCCTGCCTACCTCTAATCAATTGATTTCTCAAAACCAAATTAACTCAAATCATCTGTTGATGTTTGTTATTCATCCTTTGAGGAAATCAGATTCTGAACGTCTTATTGATTTTTCCCACGTGCTGTTTTCTCCTTTGTTCCGGTACAGTGTCTCAGCTTAAATCACTCTTCTTTTATGCCTGTTTCTTTCTGCCCTAATCGATGGCTTTCTGTTCTTATCCAGTAAGTTAATTTACTCTTCCTTCCTACTTAATGTATTAATGACATGGGATGTTGAAAAGATTCATCGACAAAAAGTCACTATGGTGAATGGGCAGCTGGTACAATTGAGTGCCCATAAGTCAGTTTACTCTTTGTCAGCTGATTGTTTATATTTAAGGTGTAGTTGACTTTTTGCGTTGCCTGTCTTTCATAGTACTTCTAGAAAGATATTTAACACGGAGTGACTTTAAGACATTGAAACAGCAGAAAAGTTCTCTAACAAGTATACATAGGATAACCCCTTATGCACTTAGATGTCTTCCGCTAAGATAATATTTCCTGAAAAACGTTTGAAACTATTAAGAAGAAAAAGCACAGCATTCTTTCGTTAATGAAATACTTCTTTCCGATGGCTTTATTTTCAAACTGTACAGTCTGTATTTGTATTAAAGGAACAGGCATTGAGTGTCACTAAAAATCCGCCACTAAATGTACATATATCAGGAACAAAGATGTTCGTCTTCCATCCACCAAACCAAGTAGTGTTCAGCTGCGGAGTTCTCGGAGGACATGCTCACAACGGCCAATGGAATCAGCTCCATAGAGGGTGTTTAATACTCTCGAATATACCACTTTTAATTACTACAACAATGGCGTCATCTTTGAATGCCGGACTCATAAATACTGGCTTCTTTGGCACTATGACTTGGTTGGGAGCAGTTTCCTTCTTCATACTTCTTTCAAGAAACCTTCTAGGATATTCGTTATTTAAGAGTTTTGTACTAAGGATTTCAAAGTATTTGTCGACCGTATCTTTAGAGCAGATTTTCAGAACTTTGCAATATAAAGAATAGATCAGGTCTCTTTTTCCACGCAGGGGTACCCAACTGTTGAAGTTAGTGGCTTTCAGTTGGACGGCCTTTTTAATAAGCCATCGTCTCTTGTCTAGCATAACATCTGAGAAATGAAATGTGGAATTTGTCTATTCTCCGATAGTGAAAGGCATAGATGATGAGTAACAACCGTTAAATTGTTTAAGGAGGTCAACAGTTGAACCGCTATCATCACAAACAATAAAACTATCGTCCATATATCTTTTATGCATATGCAGACTCGAGACAATTTCATTGAGTAAATCATTCTCTAATCTCATCATAAAGACATCAGCTGACAGAGGTCTTCAAGAAGATCCCATGGCAACTTTGTCCCTTTGGTTATAAATGGCATCATTAAAGCTAAATTGCATATTAAACGTGTATCTCAGTAACAGCTCCTTTAAGTAATTAATTGGCATTCCGATGTCAATGTCTTAAAAATCAATGTAATCACATAGATAATAGACAGTGGTGTATTTTTGAATAGAGAATAAACATCTAATGAAATCATATGCTTACCGGTCACATTATTTTTCACCAATGCAACTGACAAAGTCAAAAGTAAACATGTTCCTGTGGATGGAAGGCGAACACAGGATGACAAAGTCTCCTATCCACTGAACACCTTAAGCGGCGTCATTCAGCCGCGTGCAGTTTATCCTTTAATTTATCTACAGTGCTAAATCCAGTCATTCTACAAGTTTTGCTTCTCTCTCTCTCTCCACTCATACATAGCCGAAGCGGTAGCTATATATAGAATAAGACCTAAACTATGTATTCAAAACCGTTTTTCTTAAACGCCTTCCTTTACCTTGGTCATAGTTATGTTCTTTTATTAAACTCATTCCACCCCACCTTATCCTTCACCGTCGTTATTATAATTAATTTTTGACACCAGTTGAGCTGCCTTAAAACTCCTAATAACAATTCACTTATTTAATAATCCTTGAAAACTTTGTAATTCGTCCAGTTCAAGTCTACCTCGTTAAAAATCATGTTAATTGTCTTCATTGTTACCATATGCATATTGACCAAGAAATTTTTGATGCCACTTAACGCCTATTTCCATAATATTAATACGACTTTAGAACTTGGAAATAAAGTTGTAAAGAAAAATATTTCTTCGCTGAAGAAAACTTACTTTTTTCCTATAAATAGGCATATTTCATGATTCGAAGAACTGGACAGATATTGTTTTTTCATACTTAGGGACAAGGCGATGGACACTCCGACACTTATTGCTCTTTTTTTCCTTAATGTTCCCACTGGAACACAGGGCTTTAAGCTAGAGCTTTGAAGTTTCGGCAGCAGTGGTTTTATTTTTACGAGGTAGGGTTGCTAGCCACACGCCAAACCTTCCTTCTTTACTGGGCTTACTACCAGCTTAGCGAGGTCTAGGAGTGTGTCGGCCTAGGGTCGAACCTCGGACCACGTTCGTGGTTGGCGAGTGCTCTACCGCTGAACTACCGACGCTTTTCGCTCATTAGGTTTTCGGAATTTTGAGGTCCTGTTGCAGTTTTATGTCCAAAATGTCGATTTCCAGGCTATTTAAATCTGATTCTGATATGCATTGTCAGACTGGCTGGTATGCGGTTAGTGATTTTTTTGAGTTTTACACAGTTAGACGTCATTTTCGTGTGTACCTAGTATAAATGATGGCCCTCACCTACACCAGCGAGCTTAAGATGGTCACGAACAATTTGAAACTACTATCTCATGCATTATATAAAAGAATCAACATTAGTAATGGTATATCGGACCCATTGCATTGTGCTATTGAAAGAGAGCTCAGTCACCAACCAACAATTTTTGTATGAGTTGGTTTTATGTTGTGAGGATAGATTCAACAAAAGCAGCAATAAATAAGAAAATAATGAGTTCTGAGCTCTCAATTATTCGTCATTTACGAAGAATGCAGTCGACTGAATTCTGCAACTATCCATTTTAGCTGTTCAAATAATCTGTCAATAACTACGGATTCATATTAAACTGTTGTTGTTTTCTATTACAGGAAGAAGCAATAAAAGCATCAGAACAAGGAGCAGTTGGCCTTCCAAATTTACCTTTGCAATTGTCATGGTTATCAAGTCGTAATACAAATACTACAAATGGAAACAATGACTCAAGCAAAGTTAAGCATGAGGAACCGAAAAGAAACATCCCAGTGAGTGAACCAGTTCCTTGTACAAAGGTATGTTCCAGTGTCATCATTCTGAAGTTTATATATTTAATAATAACAATAAACATATTACCGCTTAAAACGACGTCCTTGTGAATCCCACAATTTCTACCGTGCTACTTCTTTCTTAAGATGCGATCGAAATGAAATGCCTGAGTTTCAGTACGTCGGTGGTTCGGCGGTAAAATGCTCACCAACCACTCACGGGATCTGGAGATTGATCCTTGACCGACACACTTCTACACCTCGCTAAGCCGATAGTAAGGCTCGTAAAAAGGGAAGGTTGGGGTGAGGCTAGTAACCCCACCCCGTGAAAATAAACAAAGAAACCCACTGCTACTGAAACTTCAAAGTTCTAGCCCGTGTTCCGCTGGGGGCGTAGATGAAAAAAATCAGTGTTTCAAGAAAATACCAACTCTTGCTCCGTTTTATTATGTAATGGATGAAACAGTTGCATTTAAGAAAAGTAAGCACAACGAACACCCAGAGTGTACTACTACTGCGGTGAGAGCTGTCTGCTAGCTAAAATTGTAGACACCAATTTACGTCAATGTTAACGTCCCTAATCGGGGTCACGAGATAAAACAATAACAAAGCCTAGCCTTGAGGAACTCAACAACCAATCACAGCAGACGATTTGCAGATATATCACCGGACTGTCTAAGAAACGGCAACAAAGAGATGACAGAATAACCTTCAGCAGGAAAACAACCAATCAGAAGACATTGCTTCTCTGCTAACAATAACGAATAATAATGTACATAAAAATCTATAAATATCTGTTGATTTTCTCAACAAACGATCTGTTGCCTGTCCCTTGTCTTCTGTCGTTACACTAGTCTTTTGTATTTTTATCGGTTTACCGATGCATTTACACTGAAAGAATTAGTCAACTGTTTAGTGACATGTTTTCCAACAATTGGAGAACTATTGTTCCAGCTTCATTTTACTCACTAATCAGGTTTAGTATAGGAATTTAAGACTGCGTAGAATGCTAGCATAGTGGCTTTGTACAGCATTATAAATTCGTTTGAGCGATATCCCGTTAGTCATCTACATGAAAAATTAGTGTAAACATTCAGATGCCGACACCTTAACATGCAATCAAAAATTTATGGGTTTGATACATGCTTATGCCGTAGTTTCGCGGGAATCACACTGGTTTCATATGTGAGATAATAATTCTGAAATGAATGAAAACGATTCTTTTTATCTAAGGTTACAACTACCATAGAATAGACTGCCACGTCTCTTTGTTATGTCCTAGATGATGATCCAAACATGGTTCACGTGACATTTATCAGCTTAAGTCATCGTTAGTAAAGACCTGATATCCGGTGAATTAGCGCGTTTACAGTGCAGCAGTTTGCTATGTGCTTCTTTATGGCTGAGACAGCCACTGAATGTAGAAAACCTGAAGGCGTTAATTTTCTTTGACTACAGATGCTTGTTCTCTGTGTATGTTGAGATTAGGCGGTAAGGAGGGAAAGATAATCTATGCGATTCTGAGATGGCTGGCTATGACACGTGTGACGCATGCCCAGCCACCGTCTTTCTCATCGAACAATGTTGGCTGACATAGGATAAAGCGATAATGGTGATATCAAAGCAAAAGCGAAAGGATGGACGTAGGCTGCTAGGGTGAGGTCCTCGGAATGCTAAGGTCGAATGGTTTTAGACTGTTGGTAGTATTCCTCAAGATCGCGCATCTGCTGTTTGTAATGTTTTATGTATATATTAAGCCCTCATGTTCCCCCATATTACTCATTCTTTCTCCTGTACATTTTTAAATTTTGTTATTCTCTACCTTTGTGTGCTTTATGGAGTGTGGCAACTTCAACTCGTGCACTTCTGTGCAAAGTTATATGTTGAAACCCAGTCATAACACTCAATGGTTGTTAGATGATTAGAAGGAGCCCTACATGACCTAGCTTTAATGCTTGTTGGCACTCATCAGGAAGGCATATCTGCGGTCTTGAAGAGAAGGACTCACGCCCCCCTCTGATATTCGAATCCGGGTCATTCAGTGCCACATTCAGAGACGTTACCACTGAATTATTTGGGCCAGATTGTATCCAACCATCTGACAATAACAATCCAGAGTGCACTGCGATGACGAACTATCCAGCATAGTGGCCACATTGCAAACCTGACGGTTACACGCCTAGTGTTCGACCAAAGTAAATTTGCATGTGTGATTAAGAAGTTGTAATCTTTCTCTGCATATATGATCATTATTATCATCATTACTGTGATGTATATTTTTACCTGTTGCTATTATTTTCTTTTCTAGTCGAACTTTGATACCTTTGAACAAGATATCCTATCACGTATGGCAAACTTTGGACAGTGAAGAAGAATAGAAGAGAGGAAAAAAAGAAAGGCTGAATGAATCACCATGTAAAAAATTATTCTATATTTCACTTGTCAGGAATATACATCAACATCACTAAAGCACTATTCATTATTCTTTTATATATATACATATATATATATATATATATATATGTATATATAAAAAGGAAATGAATATTTATTTACTTATTCTGTACATATTTTAATGCACAATATACATAATCTGAATTTCTATTTTACAATAAAGGCCGTGTCTGTTCTTTGTTCTTCACAACCGATCAGTCAATCAATCAGGTATATGGGTCAACAGATGATCACTGATAGACTGTAAAAAAGATATAAGGAGAGAAAATTAAGGGGGGGGGTTAAAAGCAGATTCACTAACATTAACTATACTCAAAATATTATTGTGAATAGAAAAACCATGATGATGATGGCTGCACATTTCTAGAAATCATCAAATATGTGCGCTTCAGTTGTTAAATTTCCTCACGAACCTACATCAGCCGGAGATTATTGAAAACTGAGGAGTATTAAACAGATGTCCCGCACTAGTTTGCGGCTCTTCAGCATGGTGCACCCAAAGCTGCATTTGGGATCGAACCCGGGAGCAAGTTCATTGGACATTCAGCCACTAGGGTCGGAATTCTACCTCCTTTCATTTCGTGATAGCGCTATTGTCAACCTTCTACTTCGCCTTGACATAGTGGCCACAACTTCTCACTACAGTTTCAGAACACCTACCCAGTAGCCATCAACTAACTGGAGATAAATATTGAGATTATGCTGAAGAGTCCTAAACTAGGGCGAAGTAGCTGTCCAGTGTTCCCTGGTTTTCATGCTTGTTCATAACGAAATCTAAACAGTTGAAATTAATCCAAATCCTATGATCTTAATGTAGAAGTATGAACTGCAAAGTGTGGATGATACAAGTATGTCTGTCTGATGACCTAGTAATTTGCTTATCATGGGAAAAGACGCCTATCATTTATGCTTGTTTGTCAGTTAGCAGTAGTCTTCTTAGACGACAGTGAGCTCAATTTAAAAGACAGCTATTATGACATAACACTATTTAGATTTGGATGATCATAAAACAAGCCTTGTCGGTAAGCATTCAAATAGGAAAACTGTGACTGACTTCTGTTGTGAGTATGATCACCGGTAACCACGGGGACGTAGCACCTGACACCGCCTTCAAGTCAAGGGCTTGGTCGGATGGAATTGAGATTCAATTCACTCTAAATAATTTTTTAATGGGATATCTCTATTAAAAACTGCAATATAATTTAAATTAGACATAAAGCATTTCAATAAAAGACATGTGCTTAAATTTCCTGGTCGGTTATTATTAGAAGAATAGACATATAACTTTGTGATGTCGGATTGTTGTTTTCCCTCTTACTATTCGTGAGAAAAAGCAACATATTCCTGCTGTGGTTATACTTGACAGTAGAACTACCTTTTTGTGAAATTTCGCATACTTTTGTCTATCAGTCGACTCGCACTCGCATACACACACTAGGGTTAACTATGAGTGAGGTTCAAGAAATGCATCTATTCGTTTAATGTTACGAAAGATAACTCAGCAGTAAGTGAAGTGGATCTATCCAATTTAATTTGGGCTTTCCCGTTAATTGATTGAACTGTGGCGCTCAGCCTCGGGTGGACATGTCGGCTCCTTGTGCAGATGCTTCGACGATGTCTGATTATTTAACTTGAAGCAAATTGGTGCATGGTGATTACCAGTGCGATCCAGAATGTGCATTTCGTCTCATTCAGGACTCGTCATCTGGATGTGCCTGCAATTCCCTGAGCGCAAATTGAATTAAATGGTTACTGATACCCATCGCACGAGAAGTGACCCTAGTGGGTAACACTTTGGCATTTGAAACCTTGGGTACTGGGTTCAAGTCTCAATGGGAACACCATCACTCACTGAGGAATGCAGGTACATCCAGATGACGAGTCCCAGATAGGACGAAATGCACATCGTGAATTCCACTGCTAGTCACCGTCTACCAATTCACTTAAAAAACATTTAGTCGAACAGTTTTTGGTGTAGTTGTGATCTCTAAGCTGAATGTTTTAATGATGAACCTTTTATCGCCCTGGTGAACGAAATCCTAGAAGTTGTTAATAGTACTACGAGGTACTCAATAGATATTCTTGAAACATTTTTGTTCAAACGAAGTATTATAGATAACGTGTTCAATAAGTCATATGCAAACTGCTGAAACCCATGAAACAAGAAAGAAAAGAGTATCAAATGAGCTCTGCTTGCAATGACAACAACAAAACATGTATGCGCACAACAGTATATACACTTACTCTGATAGTCTGTGTTTCTGTGAACCGTACTCTACAACGACCTGAACCCCATCCACACATTATTGTTTTCTTATTTCCAAATTGAAGGTGTTGATTAAGCACATGATGAAGTAGATCACGACGATCCATAAATCCCAGTCCACAATTTTCACCACATTTTCGTCCATACTTTAGGCAAATATGAAGTTTTAAATAAATATAAAAAAAACGATAACATAAATATCTCTAAATTTGCTCTAGAAAAATTTAGTATTTTAATTTCTTTAGGAAACAGTAAAGAATAAACACCACAGGCGAATGGCCTTGAACTAACCAGTCATGTTCTAGAGTGAAATGTGTCATTCTAGTGCAAAAAGTATATTTACAGGATATAACGTGTGCATAATAAAAATGAATTATACAGTGTATGTGCCTGTAATATGCGGTAAAAACAGGTGCCATTTTTTAATAGGAGGGGTTATAGACATATAAACGGTTCTAGTCCAATCAATATAATTTCTATGAGTACCAGTTTTAGCATCCACTAATCCTGATGAATGATTGACTTTATGCTGAATATATTCCGACGATGATAGGATAGTCACAACACTCAACATTTCAAACGGATGCTGTTCATAATCTACGCTGAAAGTTTTACCCTAACCATAACCTACACTAAACCTGAACTGTAACCCTAAGTCAGGGTGACACTTATAACGAAGACTATGAAAGGCATCTTTTCGTAATGTTTGAGCGGTCTGATTGATCGGCTCAAAGTCATTCGACTGTGGTATCTATTCTTTACTCTTGCCTTTTCTTACTGAGCAGTAGAGGGGTAAGGAAATGTCATATATAAAAGACAGCATTAAGCCGTACGCTTTCGTGTGTGAAATTCAAACTAGGAATAGAAACACTGATCGAATGAGAGGATTAAATAATATTTTCAAGTATTGGTTTTGCAGGGATTTTGTTTGATTGCATGGTTTTCCAGTGGTTCTCTAACTGATGTCAGCTCATAATGAAATCCTCCATGCGATTAAATAATAATTCAACAAGTGATTCAGCGAAGAGACTCTTTTCAACAAATTTATTATCAAACTGTACAACCGTATGTATGTTATTATTATTATTGTTCCCTCGGGTTCCTATTGGAACATAGGGCTTCAACTGCACGTCTCCACTTGCTTCTGTCTTCTGCTGCACTTTTCACTTGCATCCATGTTAGTCCATACTGTTTCATCTTCTTCTCACACGATCTCCTCCATGTCACCCTTGGATGTCCCAATCGCCGCTTCCCTTTCGGGTTCCACTCGAGGGCCTGACGCGCGATGTCACCCAACGGCCTCCTCAGCGAGTGTCCAATCCATCTCCACTTTCTCCTGCATATTTGTTGGGCGATTGGTTCTTGTTTTGTTTGTTCCCATAGTTTCTTGTTTGTGATTCTTTCCGGCCATCTAATCTTCAGTATAGAACGAAGACAGCTGTTGATAAAGGTCTGCAACCTGTTGAAAATATTCTTGGTGACCCGCCAAGTTTCTCATCCGTAAAGCAAAATTGACTTGACGTTTGTATTGAAAATCCGAATTTTGTTGTTGATGCTGAGTGACGAAGATTTCCAGATTGGTTTCAGGTTGATGATTGTGTTTCTCGCCTTCTCGATTCTCGATTTGACATCCTCGTCCGTTCCTCCTGTAGTTGAGACAATGCTCCCTAGCTAGATAAGTGAATGAAGTGACCTCTTTCAAATCCCTCCCGTTGATGGTGATTGGCGCTGGATGTTGCTGATGCTGTTGTTGGTTGGTTATTTTCATAACCTCCGTCTTGTCTATGTTCACCTGGAGTCCTGTCTTTGCTGCTTCTTCGACCAGTTTGTCGGTTTTCGCTTGTAAGTCTTCGATTTTGTGTGACATCAAACATAATGTATATGGTGTTTAAGAAATTATATCCGGTGAGGGAACTGAATCATGAGTGTGAATACATGAAATAATAATAGTAGTATGAAATGCAATTAAAGTGTTTGTGATTATAATCATAGTTAAATGTCAAGTACAGAATAATTCATAGGATGTATAGAACTTGGAAGGGGTGCGAAATTACAGGATCAGTAGGCAAAAAAGTAAGAACGTTACATAACATTGAGTGAAATTTGATAGCATGGAATTTAACCTTGCGAAACAAAATTGATTTGCAATGACGAGTGAAAGAATACCGAGGACAACTCAAAGTGAAAATAATAATTGTAACAACTGACGTAATAAGGGAAGAATATACAAATCGAATAAACAAAACTAAAAATAGTTCCCAGATGATGAGGACCTGTGTAATAATAGAAGAATATCATTTTATACTGCAAATCTGGTCTTTCATTCTTCATCGAAGTAAATTTTTTTAATTGATGACATTTCTTACTAAGCCTCAGCTGTAATACGGATAACTAGAATATTACTTACAAAGGCGAAAATAAATACCATAATACAACTTTTAGGGCTAAACAGAAGCAATTTGTGCACGCAAATTGTCTCATGAAACATACAAACGATCTTTAAAAAAAACTTTCTATGTGACAATAGATGTACACCTTTATCCTCAAGCTCTTGAAGGCTTGAAACTTTTGATCAGCACTAATTAGTGCTGGCAGATATTAACATCATCGAAGCCACAGAGTGTACTGAGTCGGAAGTTGAATCACTAAAAAAAAAACAAAGTTTTGGCACAACCACTAATCAAAAAGTTTTCTAGAAATTCTCAAACAACGTGTTGTTTTGGTGTCAGTTGTTAGCCAAATATTAGACAGACACGTAATCAACTGTAGAACTGCGAATCCCTACAAACGAA